AAAATTAGGAACTCAAATGGGAACATATCATGCTGTATTAGACTTGACTGATGCTTCCTTTAGAATGATATCCATCTAGATAGTCAAGACCAATTCACCTTCACATGGGAAGGACGCCGGTGGACGTTCATGGTTTTGCCAATGGGCTACCTGCACAGCCCTACCATCTGCCACAGAAGGGACACGGAAGACATGGAAAAATGGATGGTGCCTTTGTCACTGAGACTATTCCATTATATTGATGGCATTAGGTTAACCTCCAATTCTCTTACAGATTTGGAGGAAGCTACACCATCCCTTATTGCTCACCTACAGAGGAGGGGATGGGCCATAAACCAAAACAAGGACCGGGGACCTGGATTATCTGTCTAATTCTTGAGTGTTACTTGGTCAGATAAGACAAAAGTAATGCCCTCTGCGGTAATAGGTAAGATTCAGACATACCCTAGGCCAACTACTGTTAAACAATTACAGGAATTTCTGGGGTTGTTAGGATACTGGAGGGTATTTATTCCCCATTTAACTTGAATAGTGAGGTCCCTATACAAGCTAGTAAAGGGAGCGAAGTGGGGTTGGACTTCTGAGTGCAAAGCCACGTTCAGTTCTGCAAAAGCAGCAGTAGGGGGCGTGCAAGCACTGGGCGTTCTAAGTCCAGCTCTACCCTGTGAATTGTATGTAAATATTTCCCAGGAGGGCTATGCTTGGCGGTTGTGGCAACGACAGGGGAAAGCTCTCCTCCCCATAGCGTTTTGGTCCCAGACATGGAAAGGAGCAGAGGCTCGATACAGCCCCACTGACAACAAGTCAATGCCGTTTATCAAGCATTGCTAGCTACAGAACCGGTCACTGGACAGGCAGCTGTGACGGTGAGGACTGCATTGCCAATTGCTGGATGGATTCGTGACATTTCCATGCGACCCTGCAGCTCCAGTGCTCAGACAACTATGTTGACCAAGTGATGAGCCTACTTACAACAACACAGTAAGTTATCCACAAGTCCCCTGAGCCATCAACTACAGCAGTTATTGGGACCATCACATTTGTGGACCCAGATGACGTGCCCACTGAACCCACAGTATGGACTCCCTCGCCTATTAAGGGAGGTGTGCCACCGGTGCCAGAAGAAAGTCCCCTGAGCCATCAACTACAGCAGTTATTGGGACCATCACATTTGTGGACCCAGATGACATGCCCACTGAACCCACAGTATGGACTCCCTCGCCTATTAAGGGAGGTGTGCCACCGGTGCCAGAAGACGCTTGGTATACTGACAGCTCCTGTTGAGGGCACTCCTCTCGATGGAAAGCCATCACATACCAACTGTCAACTGACACCATCTGGACGGAAGACAGCAACAGGCGAAGCAGCCGATGGGCTGAACTGCGACCAGTTCGGATGGTGATAGCCAAAGAGAAAGGTCCAGTAACCACCCATACTAACAGTTAGGCAGTTTTTAAGGTGACTGCCCCAATGGAAAAAACAGGACTGGTTGATCATGAATAAGCCCCTGTGGGGTCAGACATGTAGCAAGATATATATGCTATCGGCCAACATAAATCAGCAACTGTGAACCATGTGTCTGGGCACAACCCACTGGACAGCCCGGGCAATGACAAGGCCAATGCCCTGGCTCATGTGAGATGATTGGAAGAAGCCCCCACTGAAGATGTGGCTGCCTGGTTACACAAGAAAATAAAACACGCTGGGCAAAGGACACTATGGGAAGTGGCTCAAGCCTGGGGGCTACTGATCTGGTATGCTGACATTGTGACTGCCTGTCAGAACTGTCCTGTCTGCATGGAATGCCATCCACGTAAGCTGATTCAAGAGATGGGACAGGTGTGTAGGGGAGATGCACCCCTGAATTGTTGGCAAATAGACTCTATATGGCCACTCCACTTAGCAGAAGGGTCTTGTTATGCATTAACTTGTGTAGACAACTGTGCAGGTATTATGCAAGCTTACCCCAGCAAATGGGTCACCCAGAGAACAACAGTCAGAGGACTGGCACAGCTCATGGCCACGTGTGAGACCCCTGAAGTCACTGAGAGTGATCAAGGCACCATTTTACTGGACAACAGGTACAACAGTGGGCCAGTGCCCATAACATCACATGGAAGTGTCGTCTTCCCTATGATCCAACTGGAGTGGGCCTCATAGAAAGATACAGTGGAATGCCTAAGGAGGCCTTGAAGAAGGAACAGCACTCTTCAGGGGTGGACAGCGAGGTTAGCAGAAGCCCTGTGGACGTTGAATGAAAGGCCCAGGTCCAGATGCAGCCTTGGACAGTGGCTATAAGACTGCAAATTAGGACTTTAGAGACTTCACTAAGACCTCAATGGGGAGGTGAAAATAACCTGCTGTGGCCAGCCACCCAGGATACAGCACCTGGAGTGAGTGCACTCTGTTCACCTGGGAAATTCAAACCAAACCATGCCGGTGCTCCTGCTGTCTCCCTGGGGTGAAGGAATAGAAAGGGGGTTAGAGATCTTCCCATCAGTGATAGGACGTGGGCAAGTACCATGAGATGTCACAGCCCCACAGACCAGATTTATACAGAAAGGGACTATTATTATTTCCCTCTGGAGTTTTCAGGTCCCCCAGGCATCATATATAAAATAGCCCCTGGACCTGACAGAGTTTGCTATGCTAAGCCAGGGAAGCCCCCTCCTAGTGTAACTATATTGTCTCAAGATAAAACTGTCACTTGTGTGCTACCTGATAAACATCACTTACCACTTTTTGTACCTGTTAAACATCTTTCTTATCCCTAGCATGACCATGGGCAACACCTGTCTTCAATGGGCTGCAACCCTGGCCTGAGTTCATAATAGATCAGCCTGCTGGGTCTGCTCCTGCCGTCTGCCACATTTGGTCTGCTATGGACAATGCACAATTCACTGCTCCACTTGGGGGACATGTGGAAGATAACGTGATGCGAAGACCGTGAGGGTGGACTAGTCATATGTAGGGGTGGAAAGCAGGGTAGGTGATGGATGTAGACCTATGCCCCCTCCCCATGCATACCAGAGTTCCCCCTTCCCCCTGGGAAAACACCCCTGGCCATGGTAGTTACCCAAGGAAAGGCACGTCCCCTTTAATACAAATGGAAGACTGGAAGAAGCAGGAGCCCTGGGTAAATGAGTTAGTGCTGTGCTAAAGCACTCTGGCACCAGGAGAATAGGGAGCAGATTAACTTTACTTAGCCAGACCTCCCGCGCTCTCAGTTATGTGATCTGGGTGAGGGTCTGTGCGTAAGCTTGCAAATGAGCTACGCCCCTACTTTGATCTGTATACAACTATCGAACTGTTTTATGTAACCCATGGTGGCACAGATATCTAGCTGGCCAGCCACTGTGAGTCTAACCTGATGTCTCTACCTATTGAAATGCCGGGTGAGTTCTTTGGAATAGGCGAACACTTTGTGAGTGCCCTCTCAGATATGGGGCTCCTGTGATACACTCACCCTCAACAGTTAAGTGGGAATTAAGCTTCTAATATATGAACTTTGGGGACACAATTCAATCAATCCACAGCACTCGGTCATAGAGTCACCTGGGCTCTCGTGACTTATACAGCCAATATTGGAAGCCAAAGATATCACCAAATTAGGTTGGGAACCCCAGAGGCCCAGTCTTGGAGTCTGGAGAGACTTGCAGGGGTGAGGGCTCCACTGAGCAAGGCATTTGGCATCAGAAATCTTGGGTTCAAGTCCTGGCTTAACTCTGACTCATTGTTTCAACAGAAACACATCATTTCTCTGATCTTCAGTGTCTTCCTCTGTAAAAATGTGTACTCTGCATAATTCTTGAGATGGTTATAAGGCCTAAGGGAGGTGATGTTTGGAAAATGCTTTGAAAGCTATAAGGCACAAGACAAATACCGCTCAATGTGACTCGTCTTTGCAGAGACTTCCCCCTTTCAGCCAACTCTCCCCGTGTGCTCAAAGAGCAGGGAGAAGCAGACCACGGGCTCTCCTCCCAGGGCTGTGGGTGGGATTCCAGCCAAGCAACTTCCCCACTCCATGAGTCTTCTGAGGCAAAATCCTGAGCCCGCCAAGCCCCAAAGTCTGGGAAGTTTTGTAGCTCATGTGTTTACCAGGTGATGATGGAAGGACTCAAAGAGATACTTCCAGAAAGCCTTTGTCCACAAACACTACACAAAGTCAGCACCCTGTACCCACCCCTGGCCCAATCCCCAGAAGAGTCACAGTCGTCTGTCTTTACCTCACTCATCCCACTCCCCGGCTTTGGGATTTCTCTACATTGTGTATTTTGTCCCAGCTTAACTGCAAGGTTGACTGTTGAGCCATCTGTCCCAAACCACGTTCTCCTGCCTCTGCCCCCCACACACTGCTTTCCAGATCTGGAGCCAATCAGTCAGAAGGATCATCTGAAAAGGAGCATCTCAATTGCAGCACAGCCGACCTGAACACAATGTCTCCTGACGTCTGTGGGGGAGCAGCAGCCTGGGAATCAGGACCTCGAGGTTCCCGACTCTGCCACAGGCCAGCTGCGTAGCCTTATCTGAGACTTGCCCCCTGTGGAATTGCATCTGTGAAACGCAGTGACTGCTGTTGTAATTCTGAGGTGGCAGCTGGGACTGGGAGAAGAATCAGCCGGGCGAACTCCTGGCCGGCCGAGCCCTGCAGAACTGGCCTCTCCTTGTTCCACGGTCGTATCAAGGTCGCCCCTTGCTGGGACAGATGCTAGCTGACTGCCTATTCATAGGGTCGTCTGAGGCAGTTTCTCAGGGAGAGACGAGAGGAGCAGGACCCTAAATCCTAGTGGACAAGCCTACGAAGGTGGCCATGCACTTGGCCTTTGCCCGAACCCTCCTGTAACCACCAAGCGAAGGCCTCTGACACTCAGCTCTCAGATCTTATCTGAATTTCAGTCTCCTCCTCATCCACGTGTCCTAATAACGGAGCTCCTGGGTTTACCTCCTCCCGCCCTGAAGTCCTCTGGGGGCTGAATATTTGTTTCAATAATGTACTGGGATGACACATTCAAACATTTTATTTTTCATAAAATAAAGGATCATGTGCCATTCACCTTTTACAGTTTGACAGCCTAGTAGGACTTTCTGTCCCCTGGGGAGAGGCCCCTCGCCCTCGGTTCCTGTGGGGCCTGGTGTTTGGGAAGCTGCATCGAGGTCCTCTAAAATGGAACAGACCAGCCTTGCACCAGCTCGGGAGAAAGGGTATGTTCAAGGGTAGACTTCATTCATTTTGTTTCCTCTGCAAGGGTTTCATAGGCTCTAGTATGAAGGCTGCCAGGTTCAGCTCAGAGTGCAGTCAAAGGTGTCATTCTTTGGCATGTAGCCTGTGTGGCAAGGGCATCCAACGAAGGACGCAGGCAGGCACCCGTCCATCTGCACAGGTGCGGCAAAGACCTGAGGCCCAGAGAGGCCCTGGGGGCCTGGCCACGAGGTGGTTCAGGATGCACACACGGCCCGGCTGCACAGGGCTCCTTCGTCCTGCTGGAGCAGCTTTGGGCGGAGTCACGGTCGAGCTGCCCCCTCTGGGGTTTAGGCCAGTGTCCACCACACCCTCTCTCTCCGGCTCCTCCTCTCTCTTCCTCAGCCCCATGGTCTCTCATCCTGGGGCTTCTCCCACCTGTGAAAGGCCAGGCTCTCGACCCACGGGTACATTTCCAGGATGGCACCTGCTCAACCTTCCTAGGGTCATCCGGGGACATGAGCCAGGTGAGGAGGGTGCAGCCTTGCTTGCAGTGGGAGACCCTGGGATCCAGCCGTTGTCTACAACCAGAAACAGGCCCTATGCTCTATCCACTGCCCCCAAATGCTGCCTCCTGGCCCTGGGAAACCTCCCCAGGTCCCCAGAGCCACCTTGAGTCCCCAGCCGAGCCAAAAGCCAGAACACTGGGCACTCAGCCAGGGCAGTGTGGTGCATGCGGGCCCCTGGGAATCCCTGGCACTGCCCCCGCCCCCAACCCCACTTCCTTGGCCCCCACCTCACATCTCTCCCACCCTTGACCGTCCCCCGGGGCTGTCACTCTTCCTGGAGAAGGGGCTCTCGGTCCCCTTCCTGCACCCTCTCATCCTCCTCCTTCTCCATACAGCCCACAGTGGCAGCCAACCCAGCGCCCACGCCACCCCCAACCACGGCGGCCCCTGTGGCCCCCACGGCAGCTCCAGCCGCCACCATCCCGGCCTCTGCGGCCAGTGCCGCTGCCGCCATGCCCGCACCCACCACACCCCCGGCCAGGCCCATGAGCCCAGCCCCCACGGCCCCCCCCACAGCAGCCAGGTGGCCACAGAAGCGCATGGTGTAGGAGTCCATGAAGGCCTTGGCCTTGGCCTGCAGCTCAGCCTCCAGGGCCTCTAAGGTCTGCTCCCTCCCCTTGCACAGTAAGGCCACACCATGACGGGCCAGGATGGCGTCCTTCTGGGTGGAGAGGAGGTTCCGCATGGTGTCGGGCAGGACCCGGAGTGCAGAGAATATGCGCTTGGTGGCTATGTCCTGTGATGGGGAGAAGACAGCCGGTGTCCGCTCCCGGCAGTGGGCACTGGGCCGTGGCCCGATGCCGGCCCCCGTGGCCCAGGGCTCACCTGCTGCCTCACGTACTCCTCGAACTCCTTCTTGGCAGCCTCCACTTTCCTCAGGTCGTGGAGCTGAGCGGCCATCTGTCCACGGGAAAACCCAGGCTGCCTCCCTCCTTCCTCCTGGCCGGGCGCCGCCTGTGTCCTCGGCTCCCCTCCTGCTCCCGGGCAGCGGCCCACCCGGGCCTCGGCACAGACCCCGCCTCCCAGAGCCCTGCACCCCGGGGGCCCCGTACCTCGTCCGGAGACGTGAAACCCGGCCCTGTCCTCCCCATCCAGCCCGAGAGGTTCTGCAGAGATATCATCGCAGGGTCAGGGAGAGTGGGGGCCGCCGGGCCTTCTGGGTCTCCAGGGAGTCTCCACACCTTGATCTCCTGGGCCAGCTGCTGCCCCGTGAGCAGGCGTCTGTCCCCCCTGGCCGCGGCACGCCCCTCACTCCAGTACCCCTGGCAGCGGCTCTTAGCATGCAGGGGGGCTGCACTCAGCACATCCGAGACGTAGGCCCCGAGGAGGTGGCAGAAACCATCACCTGTGTCTGAGGAAAAGATTCCTCAGGCTGAGGAGACCAGGGGCTTGGGGAACAGAAAGGCTGTCAGAGGCTGGGCGAGCCTGGGGACTGCCAGGGGGCTCCAGGTGCCCAGCGGAGGGGCAGGGGGAGAGCCGCAGGGGAGGTCCTTGCTCCTGGGGACACTCACCGCCAGGGCTTCCTTGGCCTTTGTTCACCCACCGCCTCCCAGGAGTGGGCAGGAGGCAACAGCGGGCTCGTCTCCCTCGGAGCAGCTCCTGGACCTTGGGGTATTTGCTGGACAATTTCTGAGAGATGGATCGAGACAGCTCTGAGCTGGGGGAGCCAGCCTCCCATTCTTTCCTCCCTTCTGGGCCCCCTCCCAGCCTCCCTCACCTTCTGCCCTGTCCACTGGCCCCCTCCATCCCTTGCCCCTGCACCACTCACCTGAAGGATGTCACCCACGTGCCCCTGCCCTGCCTTGCTGGGGTGGGATGAGTTACGAACTAAGAGATCCAGATGCTGGAAGAGAAGGGGTCCTGACACCAGCAGCTGGGGGTGTCGGGCTCTGGGGCTGATGAGTCCAGAAATGAGTGTCTCACCTGGATTGGCACCATCCCATAATGCGTGCCCATCACCTCGGCCACGTGGACAAACATCTGGGGGTGGAGCACAGCGGGTGTCAGGGCTGGGTCACTTCAAAGACTGTGGTCTGTCCCAAGCCTGTCTCCCCCCTCCCCATGCCCGCCACGGGAACCAAGCAAGCTTCCCATCCCCCAGCCCTAGGATTCTCCTGCCTCTCCCCAAACCTCATCTTGTGCCCTCAAACCCACCACCCCAGTTCAAGTGTCATAAAATCCTAGGGCCAGGGCTGGCCTGTGGCTCACTTGGGAGAGTGTGGTACTGATAACACCAAGGCCACGGGTTCGGATCCCTATATAGGGATGGCCGGTCGGCTCACTCCGGAGAGCGTGGTGATGACAACACCAAGTCAAGGGTTAAGATCCCCTTAACGGTCATCTTTTGAAAATAAATAAAATCAAATAAAATCAAATCCTAGGCCCCAAAGGAGGGCACACAGTTGCCTGGTCCAGCCCCCAGCGTCATGGTCAGAGCAGGGAGGGGTGGTGCTGTGGCTTAGGAGGTCTCCTCACCTCCAGATAGTCCAGGTCTGTATCCTTCAGCTCCTGGGAGGTGTTAAGGATCTGGAACCAAGGAGAACAAAAAAATGCAAGAGGGTGTGCAGAGGCAACGGCACCGGAAAGGTGCTGGCGAGGTGGGTGCTCTGGGCAGCCCATGGGCTTCGGAACACAGCCACTCTCGGCCTGCCTTGAGGTGTGGAAGCAGACCCGGGATGGCATCGTGATCCTACAGGTCTTCAGCTGCATCTGAAGATGCAGACGGGGACCGTCAGTGCACCTTTAGAACATACGTGTCCTCACTTTCACCAACTGAGAGCATCTTCTCCTTTCTAGTGGCACCCCCAGAACCTGCGGGTACCCCAGTCACCAAAGCATGAGAGATGCCCTCGCCTTAAGGAAGGTGAGCTGGAGAAGGGTGTATGGGGTGGGCACGCACCATCTCACACCTCCCTCACCTGGTAGGAGCTCAGCATCATGGTCAGAGCACAGAGCTTAATCCTCGTTTCTCTGCTCAGTTCAGGGCTCATGGCGTCCCCCGTGTCCACCAGGAATACAGCCACCTAGCAGGGGCCCAGGGGTCAGGCCTGCCTCATTCCACCATGTTCTTCCCCCAGCCCTGCCTCTGCCCCACCCCAGGCTTCCCGTCTCACCCCAAAGATACCCTTCTTGGTTCCCTCCTCTTTGACCATCTCTGCTTTCCCTCCCCCGCCTTTCCCTCCGTGATCCAGCCCCGACCTCCTCCTGCCTGATATCCCCTCACCTTCTTCCCTTCTTTTCCCAGCAGGAAGGGGTGGCTCCACATCCATATGCCCCTGGTGAGGCCATTGGCTCCCCATCTGAACCCCTGCAGGGACCCCTCTCCCCTTCTCGGCCAGCCACCCTCACCGGACTCCTGCAGGGGAGATAAGGGTAAGCATCAGTTGGTTCATTCCTTGTCCCCACAGACAGGGCTCCGGACCACGTTCCCCTCCCAGAGCCAGGCTGGGTCCCCAAACCTGCCCTGTTGCAGCCTTGTGCCTAGCCCTGCCCTCACCAGGCCCGGCAAGCCTCGCAGCAAGTGGCTGAGGAGGAGCGTCTTCCCTGAGTGCTGCTCCCCCAGGACAGCGAGCAGGCAGACAGGGCTGTCCCGGGCCAGGGGGTGCTTCAGGCAGCGGTTGATAGCCCCCATCCTCAGAATGAGGCCCCCAGAGGCATTGATGCGCACCAGTAGCAGCGGCTCTGCCCTCACAGAGCAGGGCTCCTGGGCAGGGAGAAAGAAGGGCCTTGAGCATCCAGGCTTGGCCCCTGATTCTGCTGTGTCCAGCCTGTGACTCTGTGCCCCACCCTGAAATGCTAGAATAGGGCCAAAGCACCCCTGCCTTGGATATGACCTAGAGATCTCCATGCCCACGCCTGCCCCCGCACATAGGCCTGGTCCCAGACCTGCGGCGCGGGGGGCAGCGGCCGCTGCGGCAGGAGCTTCATCTTCTCCCCCAGGCTCCGGAGGCCCTTCCTCTGCTTGCATATCTTCCGGCACTCGGGGCAGCAGGGCGGCTCGCAGCCCGGGACGCGGTGCGTGCTGAAGCACCGCGCGCAGAAGTCATGGCCACAGTCCAGCGAGATGGGCTCACGCAGCCTCTCCAGGCAGATGGAGCAGGCAGGAAGCTCTCGGGGCACTGCGGACTGGGGCCCCAGGCCCAGCTCCAACTTGGGGAACGACGTATGGGACCTGGGGGCAGGACAGGCCATTCAAAAGCAGGTGTCTGTTCGGTGCAGTAGGATACTGGCCAGGGCTCTGCGGGGAAGGCTGACAGCTTGGGGTGGAGGTCCCTTTGTGTCACCTCTGTTTCCCTTGGGCCCTCCATGGACAGGCATTGCTGCTCCCAGAGAGACCAAGCTCTGCTCGTTGCTCACTGACCTGCAGCCCAGGACCTGGGGGGCCCAGAGTGAGGGCAGCGAGCAGTGGTGAGAAAGCCCAAGAGGGAGGAGGCCTGGATGGAACCCTGGCTCTGCCCGCCCCTGCCACACAGCCATGGTCAAGTTCCTTCCCCTCTCTGGGCCCCAGTTTCCTAATTGTCCCCATGGAGGGGTGAACAGCCCCAGCCAATGCATGTGCAGCGGTCTGCACAGAGCCTGGTCACCTTTCTGCAGTGGGGCTGACTTCAGCCAGACTCCCCCCCAACCAAGGAATGACATCCTCCCCATGCTGCAGGGACAGTAAGGAGAGGGTGGCAGCCTCCCAGCACCCAAGCAACTGGTTTTGCAGTGGGCAGATGGCTCTGGCTTTTAGATGCTTCCTTCCGCTCTGTGCTCTGAGCTGGCATCTGCCTCCCTGCAGTACCCACCTGCTTTTCCCTGTCCCTCCCCCCACAGCCTGGCAGAGCTGGCCTTGCACTCCCTCCCCAGGGACAGCGAGACTCCGCTGCCACCGGCCGGCCGCAGGGCTCTGTGCTCCAGATTAGTGTTCCAGCTGACCTGCTGGGCCCACTGCACCAACCCCAGCCTGCAGGCCCCACCACTCACCAACTGTTGCTGCTGTTTCCCATGAAGCTCCGTGCTCTCTCCTTGGAGAGAGAATCGAAAATAAAAAATATTTAAAACAGAATCCAGACTTTTGTCTTCATCCTGCGTTTCCAGGGGTGCTTCATCCTCCCTCTCCAGACCCATCCTCCCTCCCAGGGGGACCTTTCCACCCCACTCTCCCCTCAGATCCTAGGACTGAAGACTTGCCGGTTTTCCAAGCCGACGACAGAAAGACGTGACTGACAAGGTGGGCCTCGGCATGGGAGGCTGGATGGAGAGAGGGTCCAGACGCAGGGAGAGGAGGTCCGGGAGACCTTCGGTGCAGGTAAGGACGGCTTTTCTGCTGGAAGGGCCAGCTGAGCTGTGGCAGATAGGAGATGGCGCAGGGGGATGGTCTCCCCAGAGGAGCTGACTCGCTGTCAGGGCTGGAAAATAAATGTGACAGTCGGGAAAGAGGAGGCTGAGGCTGGACTCACCCCAGGGGGAGGAGACAGGGCTGCGGGTACCAGAACTCCGGAGGAGGGAGGGCTGGAGCTGGGCTCAGAATTCCTGGCAGAGGATGGGATGCAGGCAAGCCGAGGTGCTGAGTCGCCATGGAGACGGAAGGGAAAGATAAGGACAGGGAGGGGGAGGGGGACGGAGAGAGAGAGAGAAGCCATGTGGATGCACTGGCGAAGATGGAGGACATTCTCTGGTGGAACATGGGTTTGCATTGCCCCTATGGGGCCAGCTGGGGTCCTTCTGGGGCCACAGGGCAGGATGAGCTAAGAGAGATGTGGGAAATGTGAGACAGCACCCCTGGGGTGGACTGAGAGACAGGGAGGTTATTGGTGCATTCTGAGCACCTACCATGTGCAGGGCCCCATGATGCCACCAGGCTGCACGTATCCCTGTATGTCCCACCACCCTCCCCCAGGGCTATGTCACTGGTGCCACGTCCCAGCTGCAGCCGTCCTCAGCACTCTTGCATCCTGCATCTCCCCTGGTGTCTCTCCCTCCTAGTGGCTTTCACCTGCTTCAAGCTTGTGAGCCACCTCTGGGCCTTCTAACTGCCTCTGGCCTGGGCTCCTCCCCTCCCATCCACTCCCCAGTACACAGCCAGCGAGGACTCCCCCAGCACAGCTGACCCCACTCTGCTCAAACACCTTCCATGGCTCCCTACTGCTGAGCCATCACATCAAAATTCAAACCGGCCAGCCCGCATTCTTGCCTGAGCCTTGCCTCCAGCCTCCTTCATCACACTCCTCCCACCTCCGCGCCTTGGCTTGGCGTCCCCTCTGCTGCCTGCTGCTGCTCCTCCTCCTCCAGAGACAGCCTTCCAGGCCCGCCCCGGTGCCATCGTCTCCCTGGAGCCTCCTTGCCTCGGGCCTCCTGACTGGACATGACCTCAGCTTCAGGTGGTTTGTGGCTGGGACACCTGGCTTGTGGCGGGCTGGGTGCCGCTCAGGCTTTGCAGCCAGGCCACTCTGGCGTGACTCCTGGCTGGAGGCCCTGGGTACTTCCCTTCGCCTCCCTGAGCTCTGACGAGTCACGGTGAGGCCACCTGCCCAGGCAGGGGAGTTATTCATAAATCCTAGGAGCTAGGATGCAGAGGGGCTGGGGGGGGTGATTCAGACCCTGGAAAAGTTCAGGCCAGCAGACAGAGACACCCCCAAAGCTGGGGCCAGACTTTGCTCATCCTGGTCTTTCACAGTGCAGGGCCTCAGATTGTGTGGCTGGATTTGGAAGGAGTGGAAGAAACTCTGCTCTGCCTGGTTCCTTGTTTTCTAACTAGGGTGAGGACAGCACACAGGTCCTCCCCGGTGCCCCACTGGCCCCTAACGTTCCCCAAGAACTCAAAGGGACAGAAAGGGCCACACTGAGCCAGGCCTGGTTCTGCAAGGTGGACAGGCCCTCTGGGTGCTGCTGGGGTGACTTTCGAGAGAGAGGGGAAGGTGTCCAGGGTTCCGGTGTGGAGCTTGAGCTGTGGGGAGGGGTGACTTGCAGGCCCAAGAGACAGACTCATTCGCAGTTCTTCTGTTTGTCCATTCACTCACTCGACAAATGTGGGCTGAACTGGTGTAAGGTGCCAGACATGCAGCCATAAGCAACCCAGACAAGGACCCTGCACTCAATCCCTTACACTGACTCAGAGAAACATGGACCTGCGATCCCAAGGCCCCCAGGGCTGGCTGCACCACTCACCTGCTGTGCAGCCTGGGGTGGGACCTCAGTCATCTGCCTATTGGCCAAACGTTTGGTGTCCGAGATTCCTGCCCTGGATAGTGATGACTGTGTGTGACATTTGGATTTGGACGGGGCCCAGGGAGGGCTGGGAGAGCTCCCGTGTATCCCGCCAGCGCACAGCTCAGCGGCTGGCAGGGCCACACGCCTTCCCAGCAGGCGAGGAGGCAGCACTCCCACCGCAGCAGGCAGCTCCACACGCCCTCCTGCCCAGGTCCAGCCCTACTCTCCAGGCCCTGATGCCAGAAGCTCCCAGCACCTGCCTCCCTCGGTGCCCACCCCCCACTCCCCCCATCCCTGGACCAGGTTCCTGCAGGCCCAGCTCAAACTGCTGACCTGCTGCTCTTGCTCCAGCTGCCGGGCTGGGAGGCGGAGAGAGGGTGGAGTCACTTTTGGAACAACCAGGGCCAGGCGCCATAGTCTACCAGACTGCAGCCCTATTTGCGGAAGTTTCTGGGTCCCCTGATGCAGGCAAGAGCCGGCTTCTCACACACGCACACACACACACGCACACACACATGCACATGCACGCGCGTGCGTCTGGTCACCCCCCATACCCTTCCACATAAATTGTCACTCACAGAGTCAAAATACTTCACCTGCCCCACGCTCTGTGACTCCGCCTTGTCTGCCACAGACCAGCAGTGCTCACACACGCCTGCACGCAGTCACACACACACACAGACTCACAACTGCACACGCGCATCCACACACACTCACACTAACACATTTACACTCACATGTAAACATGTGTGTACCCCAGGCCCTCACGCTTGTGCACACTTACACGTGAATGAGCTCACTCTTACTGCCATACACACACTATCGCACATCCTTCCCCAACAGGCGCCAGCCCAAGCACTTTGTGATGACTCACCCTCAGTAATGCAACCTGTGAGGGAGGCATTATACCATTCCCATTTTACAGATGAGGAAACTGAAGCACAGAGAGGTCATGTCACTTGTCTAAGGTCACACAGCTATCACTGGCAGAGCTGGAATCCAAACCCAGGACATCAGGCTCCCCGACCCAAGCCCTTAACCACTACATTCTGTGGTCTCTTTGGTGGCACAAATAATGTCAATTACAACAATAAACCTGGGAAAGAGTTTGTGGTCTTGAAACAGAGTAAGTCTAGTCCTGTGAACAAAACTGACTCCATTTTCCCTGCAGAGGACACTTTTTCACATTTCCAATCCTCAGTCATGAGACCCCCAGGACACATGATTACCCCATGGCCTGCCCTGATAACATAGACTGAGATAAGAGAGGGAACAGAGGGCCAAGCCCGTGGCGCACTCGGGAGACTGTGGCGCTGGGAGCGAAGCGACGCTCCTGCCGCGGGTTTGGATCCTATATAGGAGTGGCCGGTGCGCTCACTGGCTGAGCGCGGTGTGGGTGACACCACACCAAGGGTTGCGATCCCCTTACCGGTCACAAAAAAGACAAAAAAAAAAGAGAGAGGAAACAGATATTCACTGTGTTGCAAAAGCCCTCCCCAAAGCTTGTTTACCATAATTGTAAAAATTAAGTTACAGATTAACCTTTAAATCCCTTTAGGAATTCCATCATGCACACAAAGCTTCAAGGCCACCGCTACGATGACCCTCCTGGGGTGACGGTGATAAACACAACCACCATCTTGGACCTACTGAGCAGGCGCAAGGACCAAAGCCCTAAATGAGCATGCACGTGTGACACGACCAGGAAGAGCAGAACGGACCACCTTCAGTGACGGTGGCCTGATCCCCTTAACTTCTTTCCCCATAAAAAGACCCTGAACAGCTCTCCTCGGGGGGGCTAGCTTTGCTGTCGCTACCCGCCTTATGCATAAGTCTATCTCCTCTTTTAATAAAACGTTGCTTGCTTTACTGCTGGGTACACTGTTCATTTCTATGACCTTGGTATCCGAGAGCCTAATTTAGTCACTGGCGAAAATTGGAAAGCTTTGGGCATCAGAAAAGACTCCAGCTGCAAGAGGCAAGTGGCCACTGGGACTACTTTGCTCCCATGTCTCTGCTGCTGGTAGATCTCCCCTAGAGTCCCCAGCCTAAATTCTGACAAGGCAATGCTTTATTCTCTTTTACTCTCTTTTTTCCCCTTTTCTTCCTCTTTAAAGTGACTGTCGGACAGCTACAGCTTAAACTCCTCTCAGCCTGTGAGAACTGTTCCCTCTGTCTGGCAGTGGCTTCCCTGATGGATGACTAGCAGAGGTGGGAAGGCCAGTCCTGCACCGTGAAGATCTCGCTTGAGCAGTTTCATGAGAGTGGTGGGGATTCAGTCCCATGCCATGCAGTGACTGGAAGTCCGGAAACCACTAAAATCCTCTGCCGTTCTCTGATTTTCTGAGCCCTCATCTGCTGTTTAGTTGGATCGTATCTGCTACTTTGTAGGTGCACCCTGGAGGGCTCCTGGCTATGCTTTGTTTCTCTGATTTAAATCTAGTTGGTACTTTTCTTTGTGCTGACAACAGTGGGGACAACTGCTTTTATCAATTACTATGTTAGTGGAATAGGTTGCCCCGCCGACTGGGTCTAGGATAAACTGGACCCCACTGCTCCTCTTTTCTCTTTGTTTGTTTGCTTGGTTAGACATTTAGTTGAGTACCGGTAATCTGAATAAACCTTCCAATCCTTGCACCAACTTTTGGACTTTCGAGTCATTTGTTTAGTGAGAGACGGCAGCCGAGCCTGGTCTGTCAGTAAAAGTCTTGCTGTGTCTTTTTACAGTCACTTGCCTTAGAGGAAACCTTCCAGCGACAGCCCTGAAGGGAGAAATCAAATCCTCTGACTCCAGGGCCGTGCCATCCCCTCGCCCTTGGCAGACCTCCACACCTGTGCCCCTGCCACCCCCTGCTGGGATGCCTTCATCATTCTCCACCTGCCCCAGGAGACCCATCACCAGGCCCGGGCTGGCTCAGACTTCCTGCTGGGAACCTCCCCCTCCTTTCTCTCTCCTCCCCTTTGCTCCTAAACACTTATAAATGCCTCCTATGCACCGAGCATGGTGCTGAAAGCAGGGGCTACAACAAATAACAAGATGCAGCCTGTGAAATAAAATGTATAGGAGGCCATTGGTTTGGACTGAGCTCCTGTTCTAGGCCTAACAGGTCAAACCAAAATGGTTTATTGCTGAACTTCCACACCACCAAGCTGAAGCTAAGTTAGTTGTTTACCTGAGCTTCCAAGAAATCCGGGGAGAGGGAAAGAGAGAGAGAGAGAAAGAGAGAGAGGTAACAGCCAAATCTCCGAACAGGCCACTAC